TACTATTATTATTATTGCCATTTATATGGCGCCAACAGATTCTGTAGCCCTTTACAATGTTCTGAGAGGGGGGATTTAACTATAAATAGGACAATTACAAGAACACTTACAGGAACGATAGGCTGAAGAGGACCCTGCTCAAATGAGCTAACATTTTATAGGCAGGCGGGTGGGTGCTCAGCCCAATAGGAATCTGGACTGTGATCTCTATGTAGGAATTAAAATGCCTATTTAAAAAGCTGCTTGCAGCGCAGGCTTCCAGCACTGCAAGTAGGTAATCTTAATGTCTGGGGCCACCAAAAATGGCCTTAGCACACTGAGGGGAGCCCTAGCTATCCACTGATACCTTGGGTTAGTGATGTGAGCAGGGATTTAACCCAGCTCACACCTCAATCTTTTAATAGACATTTAAATACAAACCGCTCATCAAAAAGTCTAGGGTCACTAAGAATGCAGACCTAAGGCTCTCTTGTGTGAGCAATGATTTAACCCTGCTCAAACCAAATCCAAGGCGTTTTATGCCGCAGGCATTTAAGCCCACTTTGTGTAGGACGGCATCAAATTTTCTAATGGTGTTAAAGGATTAAATGCCAGACAGTTCTAACTTTAGTAAACAACGCTTCTATTTTTTAATCATGTATTACCATCAAAATGTCAACTTACGTTATATATTTGTATTGCTTGTGTTTTTTATGAGCTCACTCAGAGACATACTTTCTTTTTACACATTATAGAGTATAATCTCATGAGCAATTTAAAAAACATTAGATGATTAAATTTTTCAATCATTCATCACATGTTTTGTGAATGCACTGTCCAACATACATGAGTCAAAATATTTGTTTAAGTATTTTGCTTTATAGCACGCAGACCTGTCATTTTATTCTTTCTTTAATGGGTCTGAACACATAAAAAAAGAACAACAAAAAAAATAGTTAAAGGAAGTTTTCTTATGCTGTCACCTATCTACAGATTAAAATGAATCTGATCTAAAATTATAAAATTTTGTAATACCCAATGCAATTAATAAATTGTGTTTTGTCTACATTTTGAAAAATGACAGCAATAATGTTTATAATACTTAATTTAGTACAATTAAAGGTGGAATAGCACCTTTAAGTTGATTGCAGAATGATTATTCTAAAATTGAGAATGTTTGCCGAATGAAACCTGCATGGTTGTTGACAAATAAAAACAAACAATGCATTCTAAGTACATACTTCTGATTTTCCAAGTAATCCTTTGTGGACAAATTCCAACAGATTCGATGGAAAAGTTATTTGTGGGCACAAAGGAAAAGCACTTTGCAAACTGATTGGTGTGACCTTTCATTTCTTAAGACCATCTCTCAGCACAGAGCAGTAATACAATATAATGTATACATACTTACCATTAACAGACAAAACAGCACTTATGTATTGTGCTCTGACTTTTCTGTGAATAAAGATCTAGTTGATAATTTTAGTTTTCACATTCCATGAATAAGATAAAGTCTTAAGATGACCCTCAAGAGTTTAAAGTAAAAAACGTGATAGATACATGATGAAAGAGAGAAAAACGCCTGAGGTCAGTGGAACTCAAAAAGACAACAAATCACCACATGCAAGACAGATTATGGAGTAATCGAGTCTAGTGGTGACCAGTTTAGAAGGAACTTGCTTGTGTAATTTAAGATACACTCGCCATAACTTAAGAAGTCTAATGTTTTCTTCTGTGATTGACCATAGGGGTGAAGGTGTCTGAATGTTTCTAATATTTTTACGCAAATACAAAACTATAAAATAGTTATCTTCTTTGCATATTGTTTACTGTAAAATTGGGATTTTTGTCTACAGAGTATATACATATAAGACGTATATCATATAATATATCCAGCTGATTTACTAAAGCTTCACTTTTTCATTGCAGTAATGAAGAGAAAAAATGCAATATAACTGACATAATAAGAAAAGGCATTGCATGTATATGCTATTTACTAACTAGTTGTCACGTATTCATGCGCTTATAAAAATGTGGTTAATGACATTTACTGTCCACGCAGGAAAAGTTGTGCCGAGCAGCAACCAAATCCACAGAAGGGTTAATGCTGAGCAGCAATTATGCAAATGATGACCTGGTAACTGACTTTGGGGTCAAAGGCCGGCAGGGGCGGGCTGGGCCGGGGGGCAGGGAGGCAATTGCCCCCCAGGCCCCTAAATTCTTGTAAGACCGGCCGCGGCGGGCCGGCCCTTTAAATACTGCAGCCACCTGAGCGCTCTGTTAAGAGCCTCAGGCGGCTGCAGCAGCTTCTCCCCTCCCCTGTAGCGTGGCCGAGCTGCAC